CGAGCGGGGCGCTCCCGGGGCTCCGCTCTCCGCGAACCTCGAGGCCCCGTGGACCCGGGGCTGCGGCTTGCAGCGTCGGTCACGGCGGCGCACCGTCCGCTCGTGTGGCCGGGCTCCGCTGCCACTGTCTTCCACACGAGCGGTGTTGGAAGGACGCTCGTTTGCGTCCTGGGCCAGCGGCAGGTGAAGGCAAAAAGGATGCTCTGTTCGGGGTCTCAGGCGTGGGGCGTAGGCAAAACGGCGTCGGGGCCCGGGGCGATGCTTGAACGCGGCACACGGGGGTGGACAGCCGGATTAGGTAAGCCGTCATCACAGGCTTGCGCTTTGAAACTCAAAGCATTGCTCAGTGACTTCGGAAGTCAGACGGTGGCTTGTGGCCCCCCAGCCAACGAGAAAGACATGGCATTTGGTCTGTGGAAGACTGAACTGCTTCTGTAGAAGGAGCTCTGTAGAAGGGTTTCTTGTTGCTCGGTAGACTTCAGTTTGCCTGAACGTTGTATTTTACGTTAATTATGACTCGTTTATGTTGGTGCGGCTGGTGAATGAGCAACCGTTTGCAAGTCTGGCGAGTCCAGCCACGGGCCATCTGTCACACTGTGTTTCTTTGCATGTCTTTCACGTGTATATGAAGTTCTGTTTTTCACATCTCCTCTCACCCTGCTAATGCTGGTTTAAGAAGCCTTTAGTATTAGATAGTGGTGCACCTAAGAGTAAATGGAGTGCTTTGTTTTGCATTTCAAGGCCGGATTCAGAAGCCAGCCAGAGCCCACAGTACAGCTTCGAGTCGTTGCCTCAGAAGATTTGTTTGATCTGTGGGGATGAAGCTTCAGGCTGTCATTATGGTGTCCTTACCTGTGGGAGCTGTAAGGTCTTCTTTAAACGGGCCATGGAAGGTAGGCGCCTTTCTCTGATCCTTGATGCTTGGCTTAATTGTCAGTGGAGACCACCTGATGTATTATAAATGTTAATGATCCCTTGTTTTTACTAAGAAATGGCAGTGTTTTCGTATGACTTTAAGCATACGATGACGTTTTAACAGTATGTTTTTGTTTATAATACTCAAATGTGACTGGGCTCTATACTTGCATACTCTTGAACACTTTCAGCGTTAGTCATAATAACCTTGAGGACCGTGCTACTGTTATTTCTTAACTAGTTAGCTTTCAGGAAACAGCTTTGCCCTAATTGTGTTTTTTATATCTGTGATCTATGTCTATATTTGATTCATATGGATATACGAAGTGCCTTAAGAGTTTGATCAAAAAGAAAAATGGTAGTAGTTGAAATTATATATATGTGTGTGTATACATATATATATTTATATACGTATACATAAACAAACACATATAGGGGATGCAGTTACACATTTTCTGTGATTTTGTCTTTTCCCTATATGCATACCTACGTAATACTTAGATACTGGTAGTGCTAAACAAATGTTCGGATTCCCTTTTTGTTCAGTGTATAAGAAGATAGTAGTAAACAGTTTAACAAGTGAAAAATTTGGACCTCGCAGCAATAGAATTTTTAAAGAAGCATTTTGCCTTAAGTAAAATTTTCATGTTTTGAAAATCACTTAAATTACATGTTTCTCTAATGATTTCAGATGAATGTATACAGCGTTTCAGACTTTGACTTTCATAGAAAGTATTTTTTAATTTCTCTTTCTACTTTTACGGATTATATACATTTAAAGATTATTTTGCATTTTAAGGCTAGCAGTAGATGTATTTTATAATGAGTTAAAATGGAATTTAGGGTTCTCTCTGAAGTGCTGAGACAACATCTGGACAAGAAACCAAAGTTTTGAATGGTACACAAATGGTTCATGAATGGTGCAGTGGTTTCTGCATTTTCTGATTTTAGGAACCTTCTCTTTATAAGCAGAAAATGAGGGAGTGGGGAACTTTTCACTTTACGGGGGCTTTCAGAGAAGTTCTTCATTAAACGAACAAACAAAACTGATTTGCTTTGTGTATTTTTAGACTAAAACACATTCACAAAAGAATGTATCGTCACAAAAGATGAATATATTTAACTGATGTTGCCCATATTCAGCTTCAGGGGGTTGGATTTCATTATAGTAATCGTGGCACTGAGAATTGTAGCGACTGTAACATTTGGTCACAGTTGAGATGAAGTTCTTTGTGTGGAAAAGTCAATTTTCCCGTGGGTAATTGGAATTACCACTTTTATCTGACTTTGGTTTTATTTTCTTGAACATCCCTTTCTGCAGTAATATGCTTTTCTCCATTCTGACAATCTCTAAGAATAGTATAATGTAAATGAATAATCCCCTTACAGTCCGCTGAAGGCCAGTTTGATATAGTCCAGGCCCTGCTTTTTACAGGTAAACAAGTCCCAAAGACATGCATCTGAGTTTGCAAAGGTCACACAACTAGTTAGTAGCTAATTGCTAGTAGACGTAGGCTAGACATGTTTAAATTGCAATACTTATAAACCAGAGACGGTATACATAAGTAGATATATGACAAATTGTATTTAATTCACAGATATTACTTCATAAAGTATATATGTAGAGCAGTGACCAGCAGCCGAACTATAAAATGCATATGCTTGCAGATCATAATGATCAGAATAGCATCCAATTTGGGCAGAGGGAGTAGTCCCAAATTTTACTCTTAGCCATTTTTAGACCCCTACTGTTGGCGTGGTTCGGAGTTAGAGAGACATCCTCACAAATAGAATACAGAGGAACTGGACAGACATGGCATACTTTTATGAATCAAATGTTTCTTTTAAAAGTTGAGTTGAGTTGCTGTCATAGGCTAATAATGAAAACTGATG